ATTTCATAATGTTGCATAATGTTGTGCAATGGCTTTATCTGTCCAGCGTTTCGGAGGCTTTTGATGCAAAACTGGATATAACCGGAAATAACCGGTTATAACCGGAAATAGCCGAACGCGTCGACTATAAAAGCCTGCGGACTCGTCAAAAGATCTCATTTGCTTTCGAAATTTGTTCGAGTGCACGTGATTGTTTTGTTTGCTTTTCAAAGTCGTGTTAAACTTTTTTTTATTGAAATACAAAATATCAGTTGCCGAGACCGTGTGTGATGTCAGCTGTAAAATTATTAAACTGACCAAAAAATCGTTGATTCTGTTGAAGACCGATGACGAGATCAACAGACACATCAAAATTATAAATAAAAATATCGGCGTAATAAACGAGGCTATTAAAATTAAAATTCACAAAACTGATAAGAACGAGAATATATTTCGTTTAGAAAACAATTTGGCGGTGCTGAAATATTATCGTGAACAGTTAAAACAATTAAAAATTAAAAATAAAGTGTCCGGAGGTTCGGTAGTGCGTCCCAACAAGAAGAATTTGGTGTGGCAAGATGTGAAATGGTGCTTCAAGAGTCGTGTGCGGTCGGGAATCATCGTGAACGTCAGTCTCAAGGAACCTAAACAGTTTCTAAAAAAATCATGTCGTAGTTTTTCTATAAAAGCGAAGAATGCATTAAAAGACTCGTTAATTAAAGTAAATTTAGTTTTTGAAGGAAATTTCGTAAAATTATATGATGGTGAAGTAGATTTAAAATCATTCGGGACAAAAAACGAAATTATTGACCGCAGTACAAATATAAAACAGTGGTGGGAAGACAATGTTGTTCAACCTATACTACACAAACTAGAAAACTTTGAACATCATAATAGCGGCTGGACTTTGTTGGAAATTATCGGGTTACGTGTAAATATAAATAATTATTCACCGATTACCGTGGGCTCGTCAACGTACGTCGAGATGCCTGAATTTATTAAAAGAAAAAATGTGTTGTTAACGTAAAAAATAATGATGAATATTGTGTTTTATGGAGCATAGTCTCTGCTCTACATCCAGCTAAAGCACATACATATAGAACTTCATTATATCCCGATTTTCGTGACATATTAAAATTTGACGGCATAGAATTTCCTATAACTTTAAAGCAAATTTCAAAATTAGAGCGTCTAAATAACTTGGCAATTAATGTGTACGGCATTGATAAGAAGGAAGTCCTACCGGTATGCTTGTGTAAAAGCGATAGCAAACGAGTTATAAATTTACTAATGTTCCCGGTAAATTCGGTTCAAGATAGCGACAACGATGACGATGTAACACCTGTTTATCACTTTGCGTGGATAAAAAACATATCGCGTTTATTATCCAAACAAATATCTAAACACAACGGTCAACAACATATTTGCAATCGTTGTCTTAATCATTTCACAGAGCAGCGTCTTTTAGATGATCACTTAATATATTGCAATTATAAAACAAATACTTGCAAAGTAGAACTACCAGGTGAGCAAGAAAAATTTTTACAGTTTAAAAATTATCGTTTTAAAGAGAGGGTACCGTTCGCCGTTTATGCAGATTTTGAATGCATTTTGGAATCGTGTGACGAGAACAACGATCTAAATTTAAACACTCAAAATGTACAAAAACATACTGCGTTTAGTGTCGCCTATTATCTTAAATGTTCATATGACGATAGCCTCTCGCGTTTTAAATTATATCGGGGTAGTGATTGTCAGGAGTGGTTCGTCCGGGAACTTGAACATATTGCCGACGAGGTGAATAACATCCTATCTCACCCGAAGCCCATGGAGCCTTTGACTGCCGCGCAAAAATTCGAACATGACAACGCGAAATTTTGTCACATTTGCGAAAAACCGTTTACCAGTTTCGATATCAAAATTATGGATCATTCACATCTAAATTCGGTCTACCGGGGCCTTGTCATAATTCTTGTAACTTAAATTATACGGACAGTCACGTTATACCGGTCGTTTTTCATTGCTTGTCTTCTTACGACAGTCACTTAATCATACGTCACTTGGCTACGTCATTTGAGGTCAACATTTCACTTTTACCAATAAATAAGAAAAAATACATTTCCCTCACAAAAGACGTAAAGGATACCAGAATCAAATTGAGATTTATAGATTCTTTCCGGTTTATGGCTGACAAAATCGAAAAGTTGGCCTCATACCTCGATGACAACCAAAAAAGAATCACTAAGTCTCATTGTGATTCGGAGGAGACTGTCCGCCTTTTGACGAGAAAAGGTGTTTTTCCTTACGATTACCTAAATTCATGGGAAAAATTAAATGACACGACATTACCGACTAAAGACGATTTTTATAGTAAACTGACTGACGAAGCTATTTCAGACAGCGAGTACGAGCACGCTACAAATGTCTGGAATACATTTAATATTCAAAATTTGGGGGAATATTCGGACTTGTACCTGAAAACTGACGTTCTACTTTTGGCTGATATTTTCGAACATTTTCGTGAAAATTGTCTAAAAACTTACGGTCTTGAGCCTTTACATTATTATACCTCCCCCGGTCTGGCCTTTGATTCCATGCTCAAAATTACTAAACAGACATTAGAATTATTGACGGACATTGACAAAGTTTTGATGATCGAGAAGAGGATTCGAGGTGGCGTAGCCCAAGTGTCGAACCGGTACTCAAAGGCTAA